CCAGCAAAATAAGGCCCATAAGGATAGCCCAAGGGAGAGGGAGCAGAGCAGGTGAGGAGCAGGCTGCCTTGTCACACTCTGACCTCCAGAGCTTTCCAAAGGAAGGCCCTCACCTTCTATTGTTGGCATAAGCAAGTACACATATTTTAGCAAGTACAAATACTTGCTAAATAGTACAAATACTAAATAAGTATTGAATGGAGGCATGCACATAAATAAACGGCTGTCACATCTATTGGCCATCCTCTCTATGCCCATAGGTGAGTCCTTGTAAATCAAGTCCACTAGGAGAAAACAGTTAGAAGCTCCACTCAGTCTTCCATTAGCAAGCATACACCCACTTCAGCGAGTGAGGGGAAGTTCCCTGCCTCAGAGCTAGTTCATCAGTAAGCAGCAAATGTACTTGAAAGCCATTCAAGTTCATCAGTAGGCAGCAAATGTGTTTGAAAGCCACTACTGCCCAAAATAACCTTTTAGCAAATAGAGTCATTGAGAACTCCATTGTAATAGAGAAAAATAGTGGAAAAAAATTAGAAATGAGATTACATTTCTGCTGGAGCTGACAACTAGGTGAGTGAGCAAAGTGGTCCAGGTGGCAGTTTACCACCTTTTCATAATACCTACACTTGTCATATCTGACACCATCACAGCACGAAACACAGGAACATGATTTTCCATTTCCTAGTGGCCAGCCTCAGCATTTCCCTCATTCATCCAGCTTACTCCTGGTCTTTATGGTGAAAGACTGCAGATGTTTCAATATATGAATCCCCACAGGTGGATAAAACCCTTCTAGTTGGTAAATAATCTCCTCGTTACATGGTTCTAATACAAATGTTGACCCTACTACTTTGTCCCGTAGTTATGCAAACAGACATAGAATCTTGTGTACAGATTTGATATTAGGTAAAGGGTTTGTGAAGTACATCCAGCTAGTCAGTGCTTGTACAAGAGCTGTTTTTGACACTGCGACATTCATAAAATGATCTTCTCTGTTTACAAAATTTAAACCACATTTAACATCAAATAAAATATAGAACCATGGAAGAAGCATCTGCATATTAGAATGTGAGTAGAATCTCCATTTAATTTACTGCAACAATCATTTTCAAGAAGAAATATTACACTGAATAATACATTTCTATTCTGAGCTGATAGCACGGGTTTAAAAAGGACTTCCTATAAGATGCTTAGTATATTTTCTGTAATCTGACAGTACAATCATTACTGTGATTTAGAGAAATGAAGTAAATACTAATATTTGTATAATTAAACTAATCAGGGCAAGTTTCACACAGGGAAGAAGATTGTTGATGAAGCATTTTAGGGTTCATCAACATTTCTCACTGTTTTGTGAGAAAAAGAACTTCTTAATGTTCCCTTCACCCCTCCTTCTTCAATATTCTTTCCTCTAATTTGATTTCACAGTATTTACATAACACATATTATGGGATTTTTTCCTAACTACCTTATAAAAGTGCTTTCAATCCCCCTCCACTAAAAAATACCTTTCAATAATTTATAATGTTTAAACAATTATCAAGTAATGGAAAAATCCGTTCACGTGATGAACATTCATTCGCAAACATACTTGCAGAACTATGTATGCAACTACAGCTACTGTGCTCATATCTCATCAATTTTCCCAGTGCCCCTCGAATAGAAGTTCACTTCTTGCAAAAAATAAAAATTTCTTACTGGTCACAAAACCCAACATATCACATGTGTTCTGAAATGTATATAAAGTCTTATATCACCTCCTGTTTCCTTTGATGTATATTGTTGAAGCTACAGCTTATTTTTCTCTCATTTTTCCTACGATGAAGGACAACTACATTAAAGTCTCACAAAGGAAAGAACATGAGGGTAAGAAAGTCCACATCCAGTACAAGTTAAACCTCAGCAGGAATTAGGAAAGACGTGTGCTTAGGATGATTGGCAGATTCAGCCCTGGGCAATGCTAGTCTCTCACGGCAGGGCTTGGCATCGGTCTCCGGTGATCTAGGGCACTGGCTTACAGTCTGTGTGAGATGTTTGAAGGGCAGGACATAGGAGAAAGTCACAAAGCACCAGTCCTGTCAGCTGTTTGTGGTCATGTACAAGAACATAAAGTAAGAAAGTTTATTTAATTCTCAGCTTCATCTTGGCTGTGCCTTCCCGCAACCCTGGCTAGAAGTGGAGCACAGGCTTTCAGTGTATTAAGGCCTCTCTTGGTCAGGATGACCATCCACCCACAAGTTCTTCTAACAGAGAAAAATACAAAGATATCAAATGGAGAGAAATATCTTCAGTGGTAAAAGGAAAAACAAAAGGAATTCTAATTTCTCATTGAAATTATCAAGTCCAAACTGAGCAGACCCAGAAAATCTATATCCTCAGAAGTTCCCCCTTGTGATTGAATCTTGGAACAGATGAACTGTCATAATATAGTTCCAAATATTGACAAAAGTTACCCTAAAAAGAGACAATGTCAACTCACAAGACATAACATGTGTTCATGTGTTATTGAATGAGGCAATTATCTCAACAGAAATCCAGAACTCTCTGCTCTTCTGTCAGTGTCTTGTACTAATTACTCCTTCTGATAATTGTTCCTTACAGATTCATCTATGGTAATTTATTAGCACTAATGTCATCCTTTCTATCACTTCATAACCTCTAGAATTTTTAATCTAAAGAATAAAACAATATGATTTGAAAAATGTTGGTATAAATATTTGTGATTATAATGCAGCAATTAACTGCTTTTACCATGCTACCTGCTCTTTAAGCAAATTATGAACAATATACACTAATATTTGTTTCCTTAGGTAACAGCATGGAGAGAAATTTACTTTAAATAAATTAAAATTATTTGCTCCTTTCTATTACAGCTTATTCATATTATGACACTTTAGATGTTGTACCTCTTCCAAAACTCAAAACACTAATTTAATATATATTAACATTTTAAAAATTCTTAAAAAGTACAGATGTTTATTTACTTCCTTTCTTAAGCTTCAGGATATCTTAGCTCTAAATCCTCCAAGTATATTAATATTCCTCTTTTGAAAAGGAAGATTCTTTCATAAAAACTTGACTCATAAGGTTTGAGATTTGAAGAAAATACAAAAGTATTGTGAGTTTTAAGGATGTATTCATGACATTCAGCTTTACACCAAGATATGATAGGAGCGCTCTCCACTTAATGATGCAAACACTATTAGAGTCAAGATCAAACTCAGGGTGCTGCTGAAACTGTATTCTTGTTTTCCTCTTACAGATTTGTATTATTCTGTGATTATCATTGCTCTGCATATATGTATTGGTTATTATTTACAGAAAATGAAAATTGTCAGATATTTCCAGAATTATAGAAATTTCTAACCTACAGGTTTCATCCAGCTGTGTTTTTTCTTGGACTAGTAATGACAATAAAGACCACAGGAAAAAATATGCACAGTTATTCCTTACAGACACTGGGTGTTTTTTTGAGAACTTATACTTTTTGATAGTGATTTACAGTCATTATTATATGTATTTGTCTGAAGTAATAGTGTCTGCAGCTAAGACCTGAATACTGCAACAAATTCAATAACTTCAGATACACAAATGAGTAGAAACTCTCTTATAAAGAAATTTAATGTGTTGAAATGTAAAGCTATTTCAATAATAAAACAATCTTTTGAATACTTTTTGCATAGAGAAGAACTAAAAGTATAGCATGAGAGGAGATTTCTAGGTAGCTGAACCCAAAGGTTTGACAGTGCTCTTTGAGTCTTTGACAAGGCTCAAAACGGCTGAACACACTGGTAAGTGCTGAAAGCTCAGACTTTTCCCCCTTGCCCTTTTATCTTTTCAAAATTGTTCATGTCTATAATACAGTAAAAGGAAAAGAAAAAAAAAAAGCAACCTTTTTCTTTTTGTAAGACACAGGTTGATTGCTGTCTCTTTTTGAGAAGTAGTATTTGCAGAAATGAGGTCACTGTCTGAAATCACTCCTCCATCTGCTCTGCTTAGCCTGTGAGTCATATGGAGTAAGAAAAAAGATTATATGAGCCAGAGTTAACATGGAACTGAAAACAATAGAATAGCACAGCAGCAAAAGAAATAACTACCCCACAGTTTGCTCTGTTCCCCTCTACTTGTTTACTAGCTTGGATGCATTAATTAAGAAAATCAGTCAAAAACAAGGCAGTGAGAAAAAATAGAGTGCCTAATTGTGATTAAAACAAGCAAAGAAGTGATCACAGGAGAACCATGGCAGTCGTGATGGGAAGTGGATGTTTCCAACACGAAATGCTATGAATTTCATCAGGGATGAGATAATACCATTACGTCTTGTAAGGGCAACAGACTACTGTGCCTTCTAGTCCCCAGAAATAAATCCCAAACAAGTCACAGCCACCATGTACATGGCAAGTGGGGGCAGAGATACAAATGCAAAATGATAACTTAACAGCATAGAGAAGGTATCAGCATTCTAGTGACACCTTGCACTCAACTCCTTTTCTGCTGAAAAGTTCGAGAAAAAGGAAGTTTATTTCTGCATTTTTCTCCCTTGTTAATATTCAATCCAGATTTGACAAAGTTATCAGATTGTAAACAGAAATGATATCTTCCAAAATAGATAGTAATAAGATACATTTAAGTAAACACTTATTTTCCTTTCAAATTTTTGGGTTCATCTACAGAAGTAGGTCAAAATATTCCACAACTAGTTCATGACCTAAAAATGCCACTTCAGATGTTTCGAAACTATCTGTGAAATTGGGTCTTAAAAATACAGAATAATTTTGAGCAGAATAAAAACTGAATAATAAATAGAAGAAGATCAAGGCGTAGATGGGTCTTTTGACCAAAGAACTACAGATTTTGTGTCTTCTTGCAAAAATAAAGTGTTAAATGTTGCATATTTGTTGCTTGATATAGACAGCGTTAACAGGAAAAAAGCCCAACCTGAGATGTGCTTTTCTGCACGACTCTGTGGATGGCTTGCATAGTGTTTATGTTTGTTTTAGGAAAGAGAGGAGAAACAGCTGCTTACACGCCTTCTGCAGTGAGAAACTGAGAGCTGGCATCACCTTCAGATCTACCTGAGAAGGTCCATCTGCACGCCTGGGGCTCAAAATCAGGCCAAGCTCAGCACCCACAAGAGAAAGCTGCTGCCCTACCACTGTGACCTGTCAAAGCCCCAGCCCAAAACTCAGCCCCCACAGCTCCAACAGTCAAATCTCATTTGGGAAGGGATGTGTCAAAATCCAGCACTTCTCCATTTGCCTGAACGCTGACCCACTGCCTACAGTCTTTACTAACAGCACGTGGCCTGCCATTTTGACATAAAAGTAAAGTTTCAATGTGTGTTTTACTGCCCACACTTAGATTTTCATCTTGGCAGCAGAAGCAGAAAATAAGTGTTGGCATAGACTTAGTTAGCTCCCTTTTGGTTTTAGTCTTAAATTTATTGAAATATTTCTTGGTGTACTTTTTCAGGGATGCTAATGAGAGCAAGGGAAGCTACTAATGACACAGAGGAAAATACTGTCATAAAACATACAAGACTTCAGAGTTCATCAAACACCAGCTTAAGCAGGAAGATCATTTATTCAGTGCTTTGAAAGGGAGGAAGAGGAAGAAACTAATGCAGGGATTACACAAAAAGAGATATAAAACATTCATTAAAAAATAAAAATCTCGACAAAAAATAGAATTAATTTTAATTTAAAATGTTCAATATATTGAATTTAACAAATGTTGGAGTTTGTAACTTGCTTAGTATCTTATAGGCAGTACAGAGAATGAATATTTTAATACATTCAACAAATGCTTATTTTAAAAAAACTGACAAAGCCCATTCATGGTAAACAAACCTATAAGCTCACTACAAGCCAAAATCAAACCCTTATTGATGTCTAAATATATAAAAATAAAAAATGTCGATTCAGATAAATTTCTGAGATTTTGTGGTTTGTTTGGTTGGTTAATTTTTAATTTAAACCACTGTTCAAAACCACTCTCACTTAGGGTTGTATACTCCAGCCCCTTGCTCTTCTGACAAGAAATTGAGCATGCAGCAACCAATATGTAAACTAATAGCTGAACTCATAGATTCTAAGTCATAAAGGTGTGAATTCAGCTTATATTTCTAGGATCTGAATTTGCATTTGGAGCCAGTATGAATCTTGCTCTTACCTGAAAAAAATTTCTCCCGAGCACTAAAAAGAAGTTAAAAGGATTTTTATTGCTCCCTTAAACTCTAAACCAGCAAATTGTTCTCTGTTGGCTCAACTTTGCCAGCTGACACGGGGACCAGAAATATGATGCAATATTTCATTATTACCAGTTGAATCACTAAAATGCAGAAAAATCTGTGAGCAAAAAGAGCCAATGCGTTTGCAGTAAAATTCGTTTGGTGATTACATTGATCTGCTGAATATTAAAATTTGTAAAATCTTTCACTCTCCATTAACTGCACTGATAGTATTTCTACAGGTAAAACAAACTCAGCTCACTTCGTTCTTTCTCACTTCACCCCAGGCCTGTTCTCATAAGGCATATCATAATACCCTAGACTAATAAGGCTAATTTAACAACTACATTCTCCTAACACTTCAAAAGCAGAACAGGAACCGCTGACACAGCCAGCTGGAGCATCAGCCCCAAAGGATTTACACCAATGGTTACAAAATGCTGGAGAAACCATGAAACTGTAAAGAAACATTTCCCATCCAAGACAGTTTTTATATATTTCTGAGAAGATACAATAGCTCTGTTTGCAACCCCAGATGCTAGTAACACTCACCCCTCTGCAAAATTCTGCTGGCTCATCCTCACCCCCATAAATGCTCCAACCCTTACTGCATTAGTGACCCCTAGTTTGAGAACTGCTGCCTAGGTCTTTCCCTCCCCTATGCTATATTTGTATCCAGTCAATGAATCCGAAATCCCCTGCTAATTGCCATCTAAGCTGTTATAAAGAATCTACACGTGTTACTGCACGAAAGAGGATTACTGTACTTTAAACTTAGCAAGGCTTGGTAATCCCATGTACCGCAGGACTGGACACCATAACCAGTGTGAGTTTAGGGACAGCACTTTGGGTGCAGTTCCCTTAGTTGCATGGTTTAGTTGTTACTACTACTCTGCTTTTGCTGCAATGCCCGAGAGGTCTGTCCATGATAGATGTGTAACTTGCCAAGGAACACGTGCAAAAAAATAATACTAATATATATCAAGTCACACATTATTTAGTTAGGTGTTTTAACAACTCTTCTAGCATCCTTTCAAGGCAATGTTGGCAGATTTCACTGATGGTATTTATGGCTTTTCAAAATTCCTCTGAAATCCATTTTAAAGCTAATGGTTTTTGTTTACAGCAACCACGGGGGAAAAAAGCAAGCAGAGCTCCTACCCTAAGAGCTCAGACAGTGATCTTAAGCCAATGCTTATCTCCCAATCTAAGTATTTTAGATATCTGAAATTCCTGTTTATTGAAAAAATTAGTAGTTGAAGACAGCATGAGAAAAGTAGCAAGCACTACATTACATTAAAATGTGTTTCCAAATTCAATCAGATAATTTTACAATAAGCAAATAAGAATGCTTTTATCTGCAGACAGGGAAAAAATCACTTTTGTTAATAACTTATACACTATCAAAATTTGACACAGCTCTATTAAAAGGCACTGCAAAACATTTGCTCCTAAAGACCTATATACTGTCTTCCAAGGCTCATGCCTTTTCCAGAGAAGGGAGAGGGTTATCCAGTAGAGAAGATCTTATCTCAAGAAACTCCAGGAAGGTGACTTTTGAGAAAGACAATGCCTACAAGTTAAGGAAATACCCATTTTAAAGCTAGGAAGCATTGGAAGACAGGCTGGGAGACAGTTGTGAGACAACTGGTACCGAAACTCCAGTCTTCATCTTTCAGAAAGAAATGGAATCAAAATGTTATTTGGGCAGTATGGAGCACAAAAAGTCATTCCCCACCATGTGTATAACTACAATTCAGCTCTAGAATTTTATTAACCTTAATCAATATTCTCTTGAATACGAAGAATATTGTACACCTTTACACAGAGTGAATAAAAAGGAAAGCTACAGAAACTAAGCAATATACAAAAAAAAAATCTCTATTTGCATGGAAATTTCTGGGGGTTTAGTTTAAAAAGACTTATGAAAAAATCGGTGATGACAAATTGATGAGTTAAATATTTAAGAAGACTGACTCTCCAGAACTCTTGGATTTTTCAAGCTTCTGATAATAAAGTAGGTTGAAAAATTACTGACTTGGACATGACCAAAAAATCACAGTGTCAAGAAATTATTTTCATTATCAATAACACAAATAATCGTGTCCACCACATAATGTCATAAGTTAATCAGCTGTTATGTTCATTTCTATCTGTGACACAACTATCCTGAGATGGGACACCATAATACCATGCCACCAAGGAAGGATTTGCTCATGCAGTTAAAAATTTCATATAAAATATGAATATTTAAAAAAAATTAAAAACCCCAGCTCCACCAACATGTTTACAGTGAATATGCTCTACAGTAAAATTGTAGAAAAATCAAGCTAAGTATTTTATATGTGTCTGCCCTTGGATTGAGAACTCTTGTGCAGATGTTACTATAGATGTCACTTGTCTACAAAGGTCCAAATTTTACACAGTATTTCTTCGCTGGAGCCAACTAGACTGTGCTCTGGTATCTCATGGCCTTGAAGTCTATGGTTAAACACCCCACCAAAAGTTTTTTAACTCAAAGTTAAGATTACTTCTCTTGTGTCCTCAGTTGTTCTCAAACCACTGAAAACCAGGAAATAGTCTCACAAAAACATATGCTTTATAAGATTTTTAGCTCACACAAAAGTCTCAATCCATGAAGCCACCAGACCAGTAATGTGCAGAAATGTGTTGGCAGCATTGAAGTGAAACACAGCAGATCTCCCCAAAAGCACCCCATTGCTTCCCAGTAGAGCAGTAACAGACGACCATTTAATCCAAAATTTTTTTGGTGCATACATAAAAGTTTTTCTATTAGGAGAATGGGTATGAACTTTCCCTGGCTACTATTATCTCCCTGCCCTCTTTAAGCAACTTCACATTTCTACATAATAAGTTAACTGAGTTATATAAAGTGTGATGATAGCTGTCTATAAAGGGCCAAATTGTATGCTTTTGCTTCTTGACTGAATCCAGCTAAACTTTTTGTTCCAGTAACTTGTGGCTCTGAATTTCACAGATAAGCTCCTCATTTCTCCAAGAAGTCATTAACTCAAAATAAATATTGCCCACTGGTACTTTCTGTTATAATGGATATAGAAATCCAGTTATAGAAATCCACTTCAAATAAGAAAAGGTTATATATTTTTATATAATACGTTCAACACTCCTATTGACAGGTTTTCTGCATGACAGTATCTTCAATTTTCTTCTGATGGTGTCTGGTTATATTTTCTGAGTGGTTAGAATCAAGCCTCTTGGGAAGTGTCTGAGTGGTCCCAAATATACTTTCCCTGCATCAGTCTACTTAGCTTTCTCAGCCTCTCATCTTGGCAGAGTTCTTCTGAAGTTCCTGTGATCTCATGTCAGCTAACATCAATAATATCATCATGATAACAGCAAGCTTTGTTGTCCCTGTGTATAAATCAAGTCATGCTAGTGTCTCCAACCTTCCAAATGTAAATGCCAAGACTGAGGACTTCATGTCTGAAAGAAGTCATCATTTGCCTCCTTCAACAGTATTTGCAAAATAAAAGGAAATCTCATAGATTTCTCTGGCTTCCTGCAGGGCAAATGCATTATCATCTTTTTCTCCAAAAACAAAATTTGAAGTTGTGTAAAGACCAGGGTTTTTAAATCTTATTCTAATTGAAATCTCTCTCACCATTCCTGACAGAGGACCCATTTATAAGGGGTGATCAGAATATAAAATGTTGACAAGAGACTGTAGCCTTAGCTGCTTGCTAGAGTTAATTTTCATATAGAATACTGTTAAATTAGAATAGGGCCTTGCTTGCCTATGCTGTCTTACCAACAAGATATGGTTAACTCTATAATGAGGATTCTAGCAGAAATGGAGGCCTTGGAGCTGTGATAAGGAGCTCCGAGGGAGACCTTGAAGATTGATAAAGGGGGGCTCTGAGAGAAGGAGACAAGATGAAACCGTTTTTGAGGTGAGTGGCCAGTGCCAGCTCAGCATTCTTTGCAAAGCTGAAAAGGTCAAGATCAAGGAATACGTCTTACTTCATCCGAAAGACTCTCAGTAAAGACCCCAAGGAGTTATAGGAGTCGTATATGTTAATGATTTCCCCTCCCAATTTTCAGGAATTTGCTGACGCTGCTAATGCATGTAACACAACTGATG